GACTAGGGTCCCTTACAAGGATCTCCTCGTGTTTAGGTGTGCCTGGGGAGCCCTGCTGTGAAATGTCAATATTTCTCAGCTAACTGTCGGAGCCTCGGGCTCTAGACCCCCAACTTCCTGTGCTGAAACTGCTCTCCAGCCCCGACAGGCCTGCCCAAGCCTTCACCTTAAACACTCGTAGCCAAGGACATTTTAGATTTGATGCTGTAGGACCGAGCATCCCAAGATGCAAATCCAGGAACGTTGCCACACTGTGGTTCTTCCTGGTCTTTGGTACGGGAGCGTGGCGCCTGGGCCTGCATTGAATACCAGAAGACTAGAATTCATGCGACCTCCCGGCATCAACGGACAGCATAAATATTAATTAGTGCCACTACACCCTCAGGCTATCACGTGTTCATGTTGATGTTCATGTATGTAATGACCCCACGGAATTGAAGTTTGGCGCCTCTTGCAATCATTTGGTCGCTATCATTGCTGTCTCGGATATCCTCAAAGCATATTGGTGAGCAGGCTCTGAATTCAAGTTCATGTCGGCAAGGTTCTGGATTTGGGTTTGATGGTTCCCTGCTCGGGATCAATCAAAAAAATCAAAATCCAGCTGAAACAGTTCAAAATGCTTTCGGGTCCCGAGCTCTACACACGCCTGACACAGGGCCAGCATGGCTGTGTGCCTCAAGATGGGCAGGCTCTGAGGTACCTGCGAACTTTCAAAACACTTACATGCATGCACGCAAACTGACGTGCAATTCCTCCACAGCAGCTGCCAGTGTGAAAACGGTCCGGGAAGGTTCTTAACTTTCAACGAAGGTGCTGGATTTATTCTTGCAACGTGTTTTTTTGAGCCCCTGTCGTGCACGAGCTTCGTCCGCGGGCACTGCGCACCCACATGTAGATTCCCGGCTGGCTACAACGAGGACAAGCCTCGTGATCCTTCGGCAAAATCAGCAGCAGATAGCCGCAACCAAGCTGCAACTGGGGTGTGGAGAAAGGCAATCAATGGGTTTGTTGGCCTCAGGTTTGAGGACTTCAGTGCTTTCATCAATATAGCGATTACAGAGTCAATAGAGGCTTCGTTTTTTGACTCCTTTGCACCCCACGCCCTTCTCCAAAGCCCGCATCCAGATTCTTCCCCGGCCGCCTGGAAACTTCCTCAACCTGATTCTCCTGCGTAGTGCCTTAGATAGATACATGGGATCCTGTCAGAAGCAACATCACACTTTCCTCTTGGCATGTGTACCTTTACCCGGTATATTTGAACGTGAGCATGGGCATGAGCATGACCAAACAATGCTCATGGGGCTTGAAGGCAGGCGGCGAATGGAGCGGTTGTGAACGAAGTCTTGCCATATCTTAAAAGTCCGGAACACTGTATCATGCATGCTTGTTTACATTCCCGAGACTAAATGAGTAACGCGTTCAGCTGAGACCCCACAAGCTCAAGCACCAGCTTCCAAGCCTAGTCAAAAGCTGTTTTTGCAGGAACTTTAAGCGGAATTTTGGAGTGCCGTGGCATATGTGGCATAGGGAGCTCTTGCTTCTGGCCAAAAAAGGAATTGTAGCGCATGCAAGGCATTGACTTGCGGTCTCAAACATTGCAATGTTGTCCAGAGAGTGAGAAGCACGCCAATTTCAGAATAGAGAAGGGCATTTGCAGCTCCAAAGCTCCATGGGAAGCAGGGTACGAAAGCCTTGAATCCTCACTGCAGGCAAGGGATGCTGACCTTTGAATCCTGAAGCTCTACGCGTTTTACACCCCAAAGCTGTAGCACTACACACCTGAGCCCCACAAGTCCAGGACATGGCTGCAGCTGGCGACACCAAGCCACAGCGTGTTCTGCGAGACGGCGAATGGGAGGACTTCAGGGATTGGAGAAGGAGTGGAGGGGTGGTAGCCAGGGAAGAGCTTTGGGTTTAGGGGGCTGGTCGTGTAAGATGAGCGCTTTATGCAGGGCTCAAGCTACAAATGTGATTGTCGAGTTTAGGGGTCAGGGCTGTTCTTGAATGTGCTGTTATTTTCTGGTACAGTCATACTCGTTCCCTGCCAATCCTTGCAACAAGCATTGTCACACGACGATCATTCTAGACTTCTCTGCGTGTCTGGGGCCTGTCCTGAATCTCGCTAAAGACCATACTCTTCCCAGCCGAAGTCCTAACTTTCGACAGAAGGAAATCAAAGCCACGGACCTGACCGTCGGTGACATTGTTCAGGCTGGGCAGTTGCATCTCATCTGGCTCCTCCACCTCCAACCCTTCCTAATACCTTAAGACCACCCTCACTCAAGCCTCAAGTGCCGGCTTTACAAAAGGTCTTTGACGGAATGGTTACGGCAGACATCGCCCTGGTGCCGTGGCGAGCACTAAGGTGTTTGCAAGCTCAGAGATCCATTGCAGACGCAGTTGGTCGGGCTTGGCACATATTCCTGGTTGTGGAAACAAGCTTACTGACTCGTGTAGGCCTGAGGATGCAGATGCGCAAGCTGGAGTTTGGAACCCTTAAACGGATTTCTCAACAGTGAGGCTGACGTAATACATCCTCAGGTGTCGGGCAGCGCCGTTGTGAACGAGACTCTTGGATGGATTTCAACGACAAAGCTCTGCTCTCTTAAGACCTTCATTACTTCGGGGATGTACAGCGATATTACCCCCAAGAATGGAGAACCACATGGCAAAGAAGATGGGAACTAGAATTGGATTTCGTTTTTCGTTAAACAAGTCTTGGAAAAAGGAAGCTTGCAGCGATCGTTGTTTAGTCCCAAGCTTATGTCGTGAACTTCTACGGCAGGCCAGCAACGCTAGCTGCCGACCTCTGGCTTGCATGTGTACACACTTCACCATACATCCCTCGGAGTTTTCAGACCTGTGGAAACCTGTCTGATAATGCCATCAAGAGAAGGAGCGCTGATCTCAAGCCCTCGCAAGGCATAGATGAGAAGAAGCCTATGCTGAACAATATGCATCATCCCAAACTCATTTCAGACCACTCTGTCGTCTTCACCCAAAGGTCTACATTCCTTCCCCTAAAGTCCAGGAGCATGCTGACTGGGGAGCCCATGCCACTGCAGAAGGCGGCTGGTGACGCAGGATATGCTGTGGGGTATAATCACAGAGATACCCCGATCAAAACATACTCGGCAACACCCCTACAGGGCTGGGCATGTAGCGTCTAGACGTGCTTAATGTTGCATGTAAGGTATAGAGTCCGGAAGCAAGCTCGAAGAAACTGCACAGTTGGTTTTTTCAAGGTGGCATGTCGGTGGGATAACGGAGCCCTAAGCCTGTGCAACCGAAGGGATAATATATCATAGATTTCATCCCCAAACATGTCCATGGCTAAAGCTCTTGTTTGGTAATTGCATGCCACCCTTGATGCGCTTTACAAGTACTTGAGAGGGGTTCCGCCAAAACGAGTCTGGCTGGTTGACTCAGTTTGGGTTGCACGGGAGATATGCCGGCTACAGAATGCTCAGGTGGCGATGGATGCGATGTCCCCCCTCCCCTTTGACGACAAGATCCACGGCAAAAAGCACGGCCTGTTTGCAGGCCATTCATTGCCATACTCCCAGGGAGGATCAAAACATGGCTTTACGGGGAATATCTGTCATCACAGGCTCATGTCAGGGAAGGCCTGATGACCAACTTCGGCTCCATGTCTGTATTCACCTTCGAAGATAGTTCGACTGTGGAGAGTGCATCGGGTAAGAGCGTAGATACTAATGCCTGCATAGCGTATTCGAGGGTGTAACGAAGAGCTTCCCTAGCTCTGCACACGAATTGTTTGCAGAGATAAATGCATCTGGCTATAGATCTTATGGGGTCCAGCTTGGTCAGTTTGGGCTACGCAGATATCCACTTCTATTCCATCAAGCTGCTCCTGTTGCAAACCATCTCTTTGCATAGACTCGTGTTTGAGGCTAAGACTGGTTCTGTAGTGGAGGGAACCTGCAAGACATGGATAGCTTTCCGGCAAACAGGTACGGAAGTGCTCCAGAGCGTTCCAGCAACGGGGTAGCATTCAACGATGTGTTCTGTTGGGATATGCTTGGGAAGGAGATTTATTACACACCAATGATATTTTTGCCAAGGAACCTGTATCTGTGGGTATCAAATGGATGCCGTCCTAAACCCGTGCCTATTTTGGCAAGAATAGCCGCCTGACTGGGGGCGGCATCAGGGCTTTGCAAGGGGGTTCAAAAAACCAAGCTCGCGCAGGGGAGGGCACAAGAGCAAATCGCTCCTGAATACATGTTGCATACATTGATACACTGCATCGAAATGGTTGTAAATGCCCACGTCCACGTACGCAAGACGGTGCAAGGGCCGGCGCAAGAAAAACCTTTATACTGGGTCGTCGCTATTGGAATTTGGAAGACCATGCCATGAAGACTGCTGGTTCTTGGACGTGTTCAGAACCGCTCTATGCATTACTTTGATTACGACCTGCAAGATTGCGTTGGCCTGAAACCACGCAGGCAGAGTATTTTTTCATCCTGCTAGTAGCTCCCTGCAGCAGTTCTTGTTGGGACTGTCTCGAAGCGGGCCCTTCAGAACCCTAAACCTCTCATGCTAGTATGACCTAGTAGAAACCGCGGATGCCGTGTGATGAGCTCAATGCTCCATTCAAGGAAGCAGCGGCAAATGCAAACAGAGGGTCCGACTATGCAATCGGAGTTGTGCCGCTGAGCTGCAACGTTGCAGTGTTTGAAGGGATGCTGGAGGCGTCACTCTAAAGTCATTTACGAGTATCCTCCTTAATTAGTAAGGTGTCAGTTAATAGAACCTGTAGACATGTAGCGTCGCAAGGCCACAAAAGCTCAAGATGGTGCACGGAGATGTTTTTACTCAAGGCTGGACGGGATATCACGGAAGCAGAGTGCCAGTTCCTGGCCCAGTGCCGTTAGAAGAATTCCCTACACGGCGGCTGGAGTAGGATTGCAAATGCTCACATGCAGCTAAGGATGCGAATTGGCGGGAGGACAACCAAAGGCAAACTGATCCGAATGGTTCTGTTCCCAGCCGCTTCGGCGCAAGTAGTCACACATGTCCGCCCGTCATGTTCCAAGGGAGTGGGAGTTCAGGCTGCTGACTAGAACTCAAACCCGATATACATGCAACACCCCAACCACCCTCTGGAAGCAAAAGTCCAAAGCTCTTTGAGTCAGAGGTGCAAGCTACAAGGATTTTGGTTCTCATTATCATACGTCTGATGTTCCCTTTGGCGATAACACGGCCACAGTACAAGGTGAACGAACCACGCCCTCACAGAGCATCTAGATATGTATCATATAAAGCTGCTACTTGAAAGGCCCAAGTGGAACCCAAAAGCCGACCAAGGGGGGCATTTGCTCCCTTCAGAAAGGCAAGCGTCAAGTTCAAGTACACGGAGCAGCTTCCCTGGGTCTACGCGTTGATGACTGCCTGGGCTTGCTTGGCTGCAACGAGGTTGGGGTTTAGGGTGGGATTCGGATGTTATTCATGTTTGGAGGGTTCAGGGTGAAGGGTGGAAGACCAAGGATTATGTTCTGAACCAGTTGCTCACCACATCTTCTTGAAATTATAGCGTCAAAACAGCATGGGGCCAGGCCGTTACAGTCCCTGCGCTAATACATCAGAAAAATACCAAGACGCGAGTCATAACTGCCGGTGAGGGTGACATGGGAACACTGTGTTAATCAGGGCGTGTGATGTCTTGTGGGGCCAAAGCCTTCGGTAGGGGGCGCCGTGCCTACAAGCCGTGAACATGCTAAGAACGAAGAGCATGGCCAGATATCTATAGTCTACAGCTGTCAGCAGAACTAGCAATGCAGCGTTCAGGTTTCTTGCTCTGTTTGTTGCAGCACTGCGGCTTGTCTCTCTTGCGCGTTTCCTCAGCATGCCCCCCTGTTTTGAGCTCTTCTGGCAGCACTTCACGTTATCTTCGGAGTGATGGTCGTGATACTTTTGGCGGAAGCCGCAGCCCAAGGCCACGTTCTGCTTCGGCAACACCCTGCTCTTCCAGGGCCAAGGATGGGTCTCTGGCTGCTTTGCAGGCACAGCGTGTCAGAGGAATATTCTGCTGACCTAAAAGCAAAAGCACGTGATAATGCCAGCCAAGGTTACATTCTTGCACCAGGAGGAAAGCGTGATGTCAGCAGTAGCAGTAACAATGGTGATACGAGTGATGAAGAACTCTTCTTTCAGACACGACCACAGTAATATGCCGAGCTGAAGTTTATCAGGATGCATTCTTCGTTTTTCCTCGGAGTCAGGTAGATGACCTTCCCCCTACAAGGACGGAACAAGGTTCCTGGAGGTTAGGAGACTAGAGAGCTCTATGCGGGTGGGAGATGTTGAGTAGCCCAATCTTGAGCCCCTGAAGCAAACCTCCCAAGATGAAGCCCAGGCAACCGGGGACCCCAAGCCGTCCCATTGGCAATCTGAAAAGCTCAGAGTGCAGTTCAGGGTTCTGGGCACCCAGGAAAGACAGTTGGCGTAAATTCCGCCGGGCCCAAATAGAGGCCAGTGGAAAATCCATGTCAGGCAAAACAAGGCCGAGCACACTCCAGCCAACTTGTGGTCCCTGCCCCTTAGACGTCGCGCATCGCCAAAAGACGTATCACATTTGAACTATGTTTGCTGCATGGGCTCCACAGAGTTCATGTGAATTTCATTTCACAGGCTTAGAGATTGAGACCTGCCCTGCAGGTATGTCCTTCCTAGCACAAGCCCTGAATCCGATGATGGCGGCCAGGCTGAAAAAGGACTTGCTAATCCAGATATTATGGAATAATTAAGGGTCAAATGTTCAGAAAGGACTGTTGTGG